TACAATCAAAGAGCATTCTGAACCCTGCCAATGATTGAATTGGGCCAAATATCCCACACAGAACCTCCATGACCAACAGAAAATACTGTGTTTTCTGGTGGTCTTTGGTGACCCCTCTGACACCCCCTTGTGACCCCTCCAGGGGTCCCGACCCCCAGGTTGAGAAACACTGTATTAAGGAGTCGAGGAGAAGTTAATTTATTTATTTAGCTACTAGCTGTCCCCTGCCACATGTTGCTGTGGCCCAGTTTGTGTATATGTGTTTTGTGTGTGTATATATGTGTATGTGTATATGTATATATGTGTGTTTGCGTGATATCTATATCAATAAAAATGTAATGTTCGTTTGTGGTATTCACAGAACTCAAAAACCACTGGACAAATTAACACCAAATTTGGACACAAGACACCTAACAACCCAATGTATGTCCTTCACTAAAAAAATATGATTTTGTCATTTGGGAGTTGTAGTTGCTGGGATTGATAGTTAACCTACAATCAAAGAACATTCTGAACCCCACCAACGATGGCATTGAATCAAACTTGGCACACAGTTCTCCCATGACCAACAGAAAATATTGGAAGGGTTTGGTGGGCAGTGTCCTTTGGTTTTGGAGTTGTAGTTCACCTACATACAAAGATGACTGTGGACTCAAACAACGATGGATCTGGACCATACTCTACAAGAATAGCCAATATGCCCAAATGTGAATACTGGTGGAGTTTGGTGAAAATAGAATCTTGACATTTAGGAGTTGTAGTTCCTGGGATTTATAGTTCACCTAAAATCACAGAGTACTCTGAACCCCACCAACTATAGAATTGGGTCAAACCTCCCACACAGAACCCCCATGTGGGCCACAGCAATGTGTGGCAGGCAGGGGATGGCTAGTATGTGTGTGTGTATATATATATATATATATATATGTGTGTGTGTGTGTGTGGTTTTGCACATGCGTTGTAATATGGTGGGGTTTTTTTTGGCATTTTAAGTCTGTTCTGCTGTGTTTTTCAATGTTTTTATGAGTGATGGTCACTCATTGGCTTGATATGTGCCTTGTGTTCAAATTAGGTGTCAATTCATCCAGTGTTTTTTGAGTTATGTTAATCCCAAACACGAACATATTTGTGTATATGTGTGTTTGCTTATATATGTGTGTGTGGTTTTGTGCATGCGTTGTAATGTATTTTTTGTTTTTTGGCTTTTTAAGTCTCTTCTGCCGTGTTTTTTAAATGTTTTTATGAGTAACCGTCACTCGTTGGCCTGATAGGTGTATTGTGTCCAATTTTGGTGTCAATTCATCCAGTGTTTTTTGAGTTATGTTAATTCCACATACGAATATTACATTTTTATTTATATAGATTTCATATCAAAAGCATTGCATAAATAAGTATAAAGCTGATAAAAATAGATGGAGACAACCGGCTGAATTCTTCTTGACCAATTCCTCCTCTGCGCATGAGGCAGGACACTGTAGACAAGCATACAGATGTGGAGTTGTCTGTTCTGCTCCACAGTTGCACAAGGTGGAGGATTCTTCTAGGTAGTACCATTTTGCCAAGTTGTCTTTTGATCTGCCCACTCCGCTTCTGAGTCTGTTCAGGGACTTCCAAGTTGACCATTCTTGGTTTGCCCCTGGAGGAAGACCCTCATCGAGGGCCATCCAGTTGGAATTGCCTGATTTTGCTGCCCAGGGGGATACCCTTGCTGTTGCTGGAGGAATGTCAAGAGGAGTGGTGGTTCTCATCAAGCTTTTCCTTGATTTGAATCTACTGGGAGGAGGCTGATAGTCATACAGTGTGTGGCTTTTACAATGTTGAACCTTATTTTTCTCACAGTTGGCAGCAACTTCCCAAAGCACATTGGTGGGCAATGCCAGCTAGCTTGTAGAGTTTATCAACATGTGTAGGTTTAAGACATCCTGTGATTATTCTGCATGTTTTGTTAAATGCTATGTTCCCCTGCTTTGCGTGGGCAGACTTATGCCAAACAGGACAGGCATACTCGGCAGTTGAGTAAGACAAGGCCAGGGCTGATGTTCTTATTAATTTTAGGTCTGCACCCCATGTGCTGCCAGTAATTTTCCACAGTACTTTGTACTTGGTGTTCATACAGTGTTTCCTAAATGTTACTGTTCAGTCTAAGGTGACACTGAAATATTTAGGATGGGAACAGTGTTTTCATACCTTATCTTTTTGAACCTTTTAATGTGGATGCACTCCAGCTCAGCTCTAGATTATTAAATATGGTTTTTTTTTTTCTGGGTGAGCAGATGGCATCTACTGGATGGCCTATGTTCTGTATCAGAAACAAGAGTTGATGTGGTCTATCCAATGCAATTTTCTGAATAAGCCCCCAAATCGAATCTAAAGTTGATCAAAAACTGATTCGTAACCATTTTGATACTAATGTTGGAGAGTGGTTCCTGGTCAAAGTGGTCCCTGGTCAAGTGGTTCCTGATAAAAAAAAAAGGTTGACAACCACAGTTCTAAATGCATGGTACATACTCTACAAGGATGCACTTGGATTGTTGTCTTTGTTGCTACTATTTTTAAAAATAGCTATTGGTTTTCTCAAATGATCTGGTATTTTAGATACAATATAGAACAGGGGGCTGAATGTGGCCTCTTAGGATCTTTTCTCAGGCCCACCTCTTTCTCACCATCCTATCCTTCCTTCCTTCTTTCCTTCTTTCTTCCATCCATCCCTTACTTCCTTACCTCCCTCTTTGCCCTTCCATCCTTCCCTTCCACCCTTTCATCTTTCCTTCCTTCCCTCTTTCCTGCCTCCTTCCCTTCCCTCTCTATTTCTCGCACTCTCCATTCCCTTCTATCCCTCCTTCATTCCATCCTTCTCTTCCTTCCTTCCTTCCTTCCTTCCTTCCTTCCTTCCTTCCTTCCTTCCTTCCTTCCTTTCTTCCTTTCTCCTTCCGTCCATCCGTCTGTCTCTTTTTCCTTCCTCCTTTCCTCCTGGGGAATGTTTAGCTGGGAGAAGAGAAGGTATAGAGAGAACATGAGTACCATGATTCAGGTTGTAAAAGGGTGTCCCATTGAAGAGGAGGAGGGAGGAAACTGGCTTTCTGCTGCTCTAGAGACCAGGGCACAAGGGAGCAATGGTTCCAAATGGCAGTAAAGAGATTTGACTGAAAAGATTAGGAAGAACTTCTTGAGAGTAACAGCTGTTGGAGAGTAGCATAGGCTGCCGCAGAGTGTGGTAGAGTTCCTTCTATGGAGGCTTTTCCACAGAGGCTGTCTATTGGGTGTGCTTTGGTTGTGCCTTCTTGCATGGCAGGGGGTTGGACTGGATGACCTTTGGAGGTCTCTTCCAAATCTAGGATTCTAAGATTTTATATCAGTAGCAGGCAATATGGGGTCTAATGTGTGCAGAAGTCATTGATACTATGTATGTGTTTGCTTAACTGTTAGAGTATATATTTGTGTTTGTAACAGTAGCTAAAACTAGAGTTATCTGGTTTGAATCCACAGTGAGCGTTGCCAAGGAGACCGGGCAGGCTAGCTCAGGAGAGTGAGAAGTGGGCGGAGCCAAGCAGGAAAAGTTTTGTGCGTTTTTGGAAAAGGGGCAGTGTGAGTGTGAAGGCTTGAAAAAGCCTGGGAGAGAGGTGTGTGAGAGCAGCTGGAGGTTTTTCAGTCTAGAAGGGCTGAAGAGAGAAACCTGGCCAGTTTCTTTAGTCAAGGAAGACTAAAGGAAGCTTGTTAAGATCCCTAGTCAAGGAAGGACTAGAGATCAGAGATTTGATCAAGGAAAGATCAAATTGGAAGGCTATTCATAGTAGGAAACATTGTTCACTAAAGAGCTTCACCTCAGTAAAAGTTAGCCACGAGCTGTGTTATTTGGAAGAGTGGACTGTATTACAAACCAAGTGATATTCAAAGTTCTATAAGTTATTTAACAGCCTGCAACCATACGCTTTGTACACAATAAACTTGTTATCTTTTGTTGAAGACCGTCTCATCTCAATTAATCTGTGTCTGTAAAGCCAGATCTCATCGGTGGTACCTCAAATACCTCACGTTGGTGGCAGTTACCTTAATTTACAAGTAATAATTGGCCTCCTCTATAATATATTCTTATACACAATTGAGGCCTGAGATTAATTCCCTCCATAATCATCCACATCTGTACAATTGGTTCATGCAAACTGTACAAATTAATACACTTTTCCTCTCCTGTCCACCATCTCATCTCAACCAAGGCCAGCCCTTTTGGAATCCAAAGATTCCCATCTTCCCTTCACTTCCTGCCTCTGACAGAGAAGAGGAAGGGGAAGAAAGGGCAGGGAGGGGGTTTGGGGAGAACCTCCCTCCCAGGGCCAACCCACCTCACTCCGGCCCACCATGCGGTCCCCCAAGTTAGAAAGTTTGCCCATCCCTGATACCAGGCATGTAGCCGGGGGGGGGGGGGCGTGAGGGGCTTCAGCCCCCCCCCCCCCGAAATTCTCATGGTGGTTCGCGAAAAGGCCTTACTGGTGCATTATTTAAACTGTTATGTTTATTCATATCATGATCTGATCACCATACTCAATATATCCCATATGCATGGGGGTATTGGGGTAACAATATAAAAGGTTTGCTAGGGTAGACCCTCTTTCACTCAGACCTCCCGAAACTCAGCCCCCCCCAAAAAAAAAGCCCCCCCCCCCCCCCCCCCCCCCCCGAAACGAAATCCTGGCTACGGGCCTGCCTGATATAGAAGGAAGTCAATGGAGATGAAACCATAAATTACTGCACTGGGTGACACTAAATTCAACATGCTGTGGAGAACCTCAAATTGTAGTGGAGACCATTTAAAAACAACAGCGCACAGACAGGTTTTATTAATGATGGTGTGGGGCCGGCAATAAAGAAATATAACAACTGAATTAATAAACCAATTAATGTGATTGAATTTACTTGGGTGTCGATTACTTTGAAGAATGTGGTACATTTACTCATGTCTCAATTGCTCTTAAATTTCATGTACTTTTTCTCTCTCGTTTCAGTTGAAGAGGGCGAGTCGTCGGATTTTACTCTGAACTGGGACTCATCAGTAACTCAATCAGGTAAAGATGGCAGCTGTTCCGTACAGAAATTATTCTGATGTGTGTTACGCTTCTCTTTTTGCTCCCAAACCTACCCGTTGCAACACAATTTCTAGATCGTTTGTATATGGCCAATAAAACCCATTACATACAAAGACTAATATGCTCTTTTCCTCCTGAGAGCCATTCTTTCTTCTGGTGGGCACATTGGATTGAGTTATGCCTGTTTCAGGTATGCCGGCTTTGATATTTCCTGCAACGGGCGTTGTTACGTCTTCATTCCGACACCATTCCAGAAAGACAACCTTTGATGAGAATTTTTCCTCTTTGATTTCAACGTCGTAATGTTTGTGGATTTTTGTAATGGGACAAACGGCATTGAGTGGAATGTCACCATTGATTAATTGATGATTGGTTCATCAATAAAGACCCAGGGCTGACTTTTCTGATAACATGAAAAGCATTTGAAATGAAGATAAATTGTAAGAGCATTTGTGTACTTTTCATGCTGGCAGCATTCAAGTCTCCTTTGGAAAATGAAGGTGATATTTTAAGGAATGACTTTTTTTTGTTTCCAAAGATTAACTCTTTATTTGCAGTTGTAGAGAGATAAGCAAGGATTTATAATAGTGTCTTACGGTTTTGTGTGTGCACGGTGAAAAATAGCAATGAGAAGGTAATTCTCCCTGGGGTAATGGCAATCAATAATATCTTCATTTAGAGCATCATCTTTTATCCAGTAGGGAAGCATGGCACCCAGTTGTTGTTGTTGTTGTTATTATTATTATTTGAAACACAACAAGATGAGTCCACAGCAGACGAGATCACTCTGCTGGCTGTTGTACCGGATCACACATTGGACACTTCCCAAGTGTCTAGGACTGTGTGATGTATCGGTGAATAATGCGTGTAGATCCCAGTAAGGTGACCTTTTGCAGCTGGCAGCTGGTAATTTTGTCAGCGCCGATTGCATTTAAGTGCAGGCCAAGGTCCTTAGGCACTGCACCCAGTGTGCCGATCGCCACTGGGACCACCTATACTGGCTTGTGCAAGGGTCTTTGCAGTTCCATCTTTAAATCCTCATATTGTGTCAGCTTTTCCAGTTGCTTCTCTTCGATCCTGCTGTCACCTGGGATTGCAACATTGACAATCCATATTTGTTTTTTAACACGATTGTGAGGCCAGGAGTATTGTGCTCCAGAATTCTGTCTGTCTGAATTCGGAAGTCCTAGAGGAGTTTGACATTATTATTATTATTATTATTATTATTATTATTATTATTATTATTTCCAATAGATTACGACAAAGTATACTGGTATATGAACTGGTTGCAGACTCTTAACTCAGGTCAAGTTATTTTATTTCTCCTATTTTATTTAAAAGATGGTTGTAAGTCTACCAACTAGAATAGACAAACCTCTGGCACAAAATGAGGTTCAACAGGGACAAATGCAAGATACTCCACTTTGGCAGGAAAAACAAAATGCAAAGATACAGAATGGGGGACGATGCCTGGCTTGAGAGCAGTACGTGTGAAAAAGATCTTGGAGTCCTCATGGACAACAAGTTAAACATGAGCCAACAATGTGATGTGGCGGCAAAAAAGCCAATGGGATTTTGGCCTGCATCAATAGGAGCATAGTGTCTAGATCTAGGGAAGTAATGCTACCCCTCTATTCTGCTTTGGTTAGACCACACCTGGAATATTGTGTCCAATTCTGGGAACCACAATTCAAGAGAGATATTGACAAGCTGGAATGTGTCCAGAGGAGGGCGACTAAAATGATCAAGGGTCTGGAGAACAAGCCCTATGAGGAGCGGCTTAAGGAGCTGGGCATGTTTAGCCTGAAGAAGAGAAGGCTGAGAGGAGATATGATAGCCATGTATAAATATGTGAGAGGAAGCCACAGGGAGGAGGGAGCAAGCTTCCTTTCTGCTTCCCTGGAGACTAGGACGCAGTGGGACAATGGCTTCAAACTACAAGAAAGGAGATTCCATAGGAACATGAGGAAGAACTTCCTGACTATGAGAACCATTCAGCAGTGGAATCTCTGCCCCGGAGTGTGGTGGAGGCTCCTTCTTTGGAAGCTTTTAAACAGAGGCTGGATGGCCATCTGTCAGGGGTGATTTGAATGCAATATTCCTGCTTCTTGGCAGGGGGTTGGACTGGATGGCCCATGAGGTCTCCTCCAACTTTTTAATTCTATGAACTGCAAATCCCAGGAACTCCCAAATGTCAAGATTCTATTTTCCACCAGTGTTCACATTTGGGCATATTGAGTATCCATGTAGAGTTTGGTCCAGATCCATCATTGTTTGAGTCCACAGTGCTTTCTGGCTGTAGGTGAACTACAACTCTAAAACCAAAGGACACTGCACACCAAACCCTTCCAGTATTTTCTGTTGGTCATAGGAGAACTGTGTACCAAGTCTGGTTCCATTCCATCGTTGGTGGGGTTCAGAATGCTCTCTGATTGTACATAAATGGGAAATCCCAGAAACGACAACTCCCAAATGACAAAATCAAATTTTTGAGTGTAAGACATACATTGGACTGTTAGGTGTCTTGTGTACAAATTTGGTGTCAATTTGTCCAGTGGTTTTTGAGTTCTGTGAATCCCACAAACGAACATTACATTTTTATTTATATAGATATGGATTTTCATCATCGGTCATAAAAAGCTCATTTTGTGTGCTTTTGCAACTCTTCAACTTCCCTGGTCAGCCTGTTATCTGTGGGATTCTGGGTGCCATAGTGCAGGAAAACCTTTTAAATCTCTGCTTTAAACAGTTAGCATTGTTTAAAATTACAACAGCAAAACAGCAGAGAGGAAACAACCAGGCACATCTTAACACCTCTCGACAAAAGATTTTCCCAGGCTCAGCCAGGCCTTCAAATGCTAATGAAGGTGGTCAGTTGAAACATTCACACCTAGCTCCAGCAGAGAAAAGCTCTTTGCCCCACCCCAGCCATTCCACAGATATATAAACCCCTTTTTCCTAGTTCCAACAGACCTCACTACCTCTGAGGATGCTTGCCATAGATGCAGGCGAAACGTCAGGAGAAATGCCTCTAGAACATGGCCCTAGAGCCCGAAAAAAACCCACAAGAACCTAGTTAGCATTGTTTTGGATGGGGCTGGATTTAGAGGACGTTTTGTCCGATTCAGGAGGGTGGCTTGTTATATTCTGTGGTCTGCATTAATTGCACAGATTTAAATTATGGAGGGACGAGGAGTGACAAGTAGTTACACAGGTGGCAGGAGCTGCTGGAATCCAACCTCCCTGGCCTCTAAAGTTTCACTGGGCATTTCTCGTAAACTTCCAAGTTTATATTTTTACAGGCTTAGGAGCTGTAAATGTCTGCTTTTTAATAACAGAGAATTCTGCAGCTCATCCAGTGTGGATTCCCCCCCCCCCCCCCCCCCCCCCCCCCCCCCCCCCCACGGCTGTAGAACCACAGAATATAACTCTTGTGAGCATAACTCTTGGTGGTAAACTCAGCATTACATATAGCAGTGTGTGTATCACAACCAAGTTATAAGAAAGTTCATATGGTCAAAGAAGAGTGATGAAATGGACCCTGTGACTGTGCCGTCAAATGCGAGAAACGCTTTCCGATGTGCAGAAAGAAGCAGGAATGGAAACCCTGCTAATTTGAAACATCTGGCCAAATGATTTGGTTTGCTGGGCTTTTCTTCCTGGGAGGGAGGGGAGGTGGGCAGGAGGGAATGTTGACTTGGGCCAAGGCACCGAATGAAAAGTGAAGCATGGTTATTCCTCCTTTATTGAAGTTCTACATCACTTTGCTGGTGCTAATACAAACAGGAAGATCATAAAAGAACATAATGAAAGTCCTGCACACTGGGACCACAGGACTGGTTTCAGTTACCGAATATAGCTTTGGAGGCACACCACGCAACGGAGAGCTACTCTACGGCATTACTCCACAGTCTATTATGGCTTTTTAATAGTTTCTCCCCCGCATCTCTCCTCTGCGTAGTTTTTCCTTATTTTGTTCAAAAGCCATGTGTTCTGTGCCATATTAGACGCAATCAATAAGGGAAAAAGTCTATCTCTCAGGTCAATCTAGATGGTGGTGATTGTCCAGACATGCGTTTTGTACCTTTATTGTGTGTTTCTTTATTACTCAGTGGTATGATATGAAAAAGGGACTGGTAGTTAACACGTCAATTTCTGGTGGAGTGAAAATTTGTCCTGTCAGTTACTTTATAATGAAAGAGAAGTAATATCGTATTTCAATTTATTGCTCTCATCTTGATTATAACGGTTTTATTATGACCATTAATGTTGTGGATCCTGGTTTAATAAGCCATGATGTGGAAAAAAATCAGTATGCTTGCGTTCGTGTTCATTTTGTGTAATGTATTAAACTAGGGAGAAGAATAGCTCCATGTGTGGGCTAAACCTTGGGATTTTGTTTCAATATGCTAACTGTATTTATTTATTTATTTATTTGCCCTATTTCTACCCCATCTTTCTCTACCCCGAAGGCAGGCCCGTAGCCAGGATTTCGTTTTTTTGGGGGGGGGGCTGAATTTTTTTTGGGGGGGGGCTGAGTCTAGCCTAGCAAACCTTTTGTATCATTACCCCAATACCCCCATGCATATGGGATATATTGAGTATGGTGATCAGATCATGATATGAATAAACATAACAGTTTAAATAATGCACCAGTAAGGCTTTTCGCGAACCACATGAGAATTTCGGGGGGCGGGCGGGGGGCCCTCCCCCCCCCCCCGGCTACATGCCTGTCCGAAGGGGACTCAAGACGGCTTACATATAGGCAATTATTCAATGCCTTAAAACACATACAATTCCAGCAACATTAGAATTAAAATTAATACATATTAAGCAGTTAAAACATTCAAAAACATTACATTAAATCTAAATCATGCCATCTGTAATCGTAGTCCAAAGACGTTCCATACTCATTGCACATATTCCAAATCTGTTATTGCACTGCACTATTTTCAGAAAGCCTGATCTCAAAGCCAAGT